ATAATAGGGTGTCTCCTCAAAGAAAGTGACATCCATGGAGACAAACTTCCTCCCTAAGACAGGATCATAGCAACAATAACCCTTTTGAGTTTGTGCGTAACCAAGGAAAATGCATTTGGAGGCCTTGGTTTCGAACTTGGAGTGATGGGATCCGAGAAGCTGAACAAAGCAGGTACAACCGAATGTTTTAAGGGGAATAGAAAACAACTCCTCACTTRGGTATAGAAGGGAAAAAGGAKATCTCATATCAAGGACCCGGGAAGGAACCTGATTAATAAGATATACCGCCGTGAGGATAGCATCACCCCATAAGCAAATAGGGACACTGGAGGTAAACATAAGACTTCTAGCCACCTCCAAGATGTGTCTATTCTTCCTTTCTGCAACTCCATTCTACTGAGGTGTATAAGGGCAAGAGCTCTGGTGCATAACCCCATGATTAAGAAGGTAAGATGCCAATGGTTTAGCAAAGTATTCCTTGGTGTTATCGGATCTAAGAAGTTTGATATTGGCATCAAATTGGGTTAAGATCATTTGGTGAAAGTTTTGGGTCAGGGCAGGAACCTCATCTCGTGAACGCATGAGATAAACCCAAGAAAAACGGGTATGGCCATCAAAAATAATAAGAAATATTTGTACCCACCCAAGGAAGGGATGTGATAGGGCCCCCAAACATCAATATGCACAATATCAAAAGAATTATTACTCATTTTATTACTCAATAAATAAGACTTTCTACAATGTTTAACAAACTCACAACTTTCACACTACAACTGAGACAACTCAATAGACTCGAATAAAGCAGGAAACAGACTCTTTAAAGACCGAAAGGACAAATGACCCAATCGGTTATGCCAAAGCATAACCGAACTCACACTCTAAGAAACAAAAGACATCTTCTCTACTGACTCTCCCTGACGAGACCTCTCCCCGAGCAGATAGATCCCATTCGTCTCACGGCCAGTCCCAATCACCTTCTTCGTCTCCAAGTCCTGAAAAACACATCGGTCAAGGAAGAAGGTTACCGAGCAGTTCATATGCTTGGTAATACTATTGACTGAAAGAAGATTAGTATCAAGCTTAGGAACGTGCAAAACAGATGACAGGGAGATAGTATCTGATAACTTAATGTCACCCTTCCCAGAAATAGGGACCAGGGAGCCATCAGCAATAGATACTTTATCCCTACCCGAAGACAAATGGTAAGTRGTAAACAGTGAAGGCAAGCTAGTCATGTGGTCGAATGCACCTGAATCTATTACCCAACAAGGTTCAGTAGTACCTGGAGCTGAGGCATGGTAGGCTGAAGCTCGAATACCTGAATGTGCGAAGGCAGATGTGGTAGGAGCTGATGTTGACTGCGGTGGCTGAGCTGAATTTCCAACTTCCTTTTCTAACTGTATTAGGGCAGCCCGAACTGCAGCTAAGGTCTCGAAAGGTGTTCCTCTTGTGCCAGATGAGGATACTAAATCAGTGTTCACGGTTGCCCTTCTTGCTTCTCAACTTTGCCGGAACCAAGTGAGGATGCAGTTTCCAACATGTTTCTTTTGTATGTTTGGGTTTCTTACAATGTTCACATACCACATCCCTTTTGTCTTCCTTCCTCCTGTCCTTCTCTGAATCACCCCCTGATTTGGGTTTAACAGCTACAAAGGCTGGTGTGAGAGGCTGATGTTGCATCATAACTTTCCTTCTGGTCTCTTCACTGTGTACTAAGGAGTATGCCTGAGAGAGAGTCACACTGTCTCTAGTCAAAATCTGTTGCCGCACAATATCATACTCTGAATTTAGGCCCGCCAGAAACTCAAACTCCCGGTTTGTCTCGACTTGCTTTCTATATATTTGTGCATCTTTGGGACTCTCCCACTCAAGAGTCTCTAAGTGATCAATCTCACGCCACAGAGACTGCAAGGTAGAGAAGTACACTGAAATCGGTTTCTCTCCTTGTTTAAGGTTTTTCACTTCACATTTCAATTCATATGCTCTAGCAACATTAAGGGGTTGGGAATAAGTTTCTCTCATAACATCCCATATCTCCTTAGCCGTCTTTGTCCACAAGTAATTTCGGCTAATATGGGGCTGCATAGAATTACACAGCCATGTCATAACCAAGTAGTTTTGTTGGATCCACTTGGTATATGTAGGATCTCCCTTGCGGGGTTCTTTCACATCTCCCAAGAGGTACCCTAATTTACCTCTTCCCCCAATAGCCATCACGGTTGATTGGGCCCATTCCAAATAGTTTGATCCATCAAACTTTATGGTTGTAATCTGACCACCTGTCTCAAAAACACTACCATAACTGTTGTTCCAAAAACTGCCTTCTGCCTGATTTTTAAACTCTATCTCGATCAAGTCTCAAAAACAGCACTTGGACTACCAATCACAATCAAAACAGTGTAGGACCAATCTGTATTCACAGTGTATATGCACAAAACAGGTAGAAATCTGATCTGAAACCAACTAGCAAACACAACAGCGGCAGTCCGTACAGTTCTCACCCCTTAAGAGAGTTCAAAAACCCCAAAAGGATCTGAAAAAACAGCTTAGAAGCAGATCTGATATGCTTGGCAGAATTAGGGTTTTAATCAGTCCTTAAAGAAAACATTTCAGTTGCACATTCCAATCAATACTGTACAGATAGACTTGCAGTAGGGTTAATATGAAACCCTAAAAGTTGATCAATGCTAACAAAACTTGAGGACAGCTCCAGGTAAATCGCAAGATTCAGTCTAACATTAGGGCTTTCCGCAAGATCACTTTCAAACCCTAGAGTAGGAGAAAAGAACCCTAAGGCAGTTCAGCCCAACAATAGGGTCTGCTGTAAAACCCTAGAGAATAGAAGGGAGAAAACCCTAGAATGGTTCGGCCGCCCTTTCTAGATAGGTCTAACCTATCCTCTCTGATAGTACTTCTCTTAGAAAAATAGATAACAAGGAAAAACTGTTCACTGCCTTCCAAGGTTACCCGAACCCTAGTCTTCTCTGATTCTTCCTGATCACCAACACTCTGCAATCGTGACATGTCTTCAACAGCTGTTAAACCCTCTGGCGATCTCCAAGAATCAGTCCACGAACTCCACTTTCTCAGCTTCCAGTCCTAGGGAATTCTCATGTGGTCGGCTGGACTAGACTAACATGAGAAACCCTAACCTTGCTCTGATACCAAGTAGAAGTTCAAGACTGCTATCAGTCTTGAACCCTAATAGATTTCAGGTTCGAAAAAGGAGAAAAAAGGTATAGAGGAGAGAGGAGAAAGAGTAGAGAGAGAGCAGTAGAACACAAGAATTGAAAGGAAKGACAGAATCTGAATGTTCTGCCGCCGCCACTTCTATTTAGTATTTATAGGTTATGCTAGTTACATGAAAGGACAAATCTGCCCTTGGTATTTACATAACACACAAAACAATATAAAACTGAAATATAAATAACAACTGGAATAACAGATTGACCATCAGCTAACCCTAGGATGACTAGGGCACATTCTACCCTACGAACAGAGTGGGACCACAGCTGTGGGGACCACATCAGTGTTCTCTACAGTATAAAAGCATTATCTATCATGATCTAACCACGTAAAGTACAGCCTCAATCTTCACTAGGATGTAGAGAAGTTGGAACTCAAGCCAACATATATGCATATGGATCTAATCACAAACCTGGGGAAAATGGTGGTAAAGTGATAACTGACATCAGATAGTTCTAAAGGCTTGTTGGAAGATTGTTATATTTGTTAACTACTCAACCAGATATTGCATACATTGTAGCCTTGTAGGTATTCTCGGCCAATATATGCACTCTCCAAGAATGTCAATGTTTTGGTGCAACTGAACATGTGCTTAGGTACTTAAAGAAGCATCCTGGAAAGGGAATCCTTTTTTTCTAAGCATAATCATCTTAGAGTAGAGGTATACACAGATGTGGGTTGTGCTGGATAAACTAATTGTAGTCAAGAACAGCAGTTCACATTGAACAATGAAAACACCAGCTGAAGAAAACTTTTTCCATGACTAAACAGATCATTTGTGTTCTCCCATAAAGCAAAAAGTACTCTATTATGTTGAATGCAACTTTTTTTTTTTGATAGATATCATGTTGAATACAACTTTGAGGCCTGTAATGAAGGAAATTTCTTCAATTTGTATGAATGGCATGGAAGATCCATACAGTCCATTTTTATAGGGCAACATCAGAGAAGTGTTTTTGTCCATGTCCATCTGATAGATCACTGTGCTTTACTCTTCTCCAGTAAAACAATAGCCTTTTTTTTTTGAAAAAGGTAACTTGCAGATGCATTAAAATAAAATAAAATAAAAAAGATACAAAAGACTGGAAAGTATAATTGCCTTTAAATATTACTTTTGTGGAAAGTATACTATATAAAAGACTGGAAAGAATGGCTACTTTGTGTTGTGGCAGGGGGCAAATTGTCTGAAGTTTGCCATTTGGAAATAAGGTACATAGAAAATCATCTGGATCCATTTTGCAGTCTCACCTCAGCTGCCACAAGTCATAACTACCTGGTAGAGGGATTCCAAACTTTTTTCCATTAAGATAGAAGACTTGGCCTTATATATATAGACACACACACACACACACACACAAAGGAGGGTGGGCCTTTGCGCAACAGTTGGGTTGCTCCATTACAACCTGGGTGACCAGGGTTCAAATCTTGAAAACAGCCTCTCTGTATGTGCAGGGGTAAGGCTGTGTACATCTGTCCCTCCCCAGACCCCGCATTGACAGGAGCCTTGTGCACTGGGCTGCCCTTTTTATTTATGATGAGTATAAAAAAGTTCAAGAATAATTTTCATTCAAACTTAATGATGATATCTATCCATTTTTTATATGGCATTTTAATGTGTAGCAAAGGTTATTTGTCTGAAACTTGTTATCAGAAATAGGGGTAACTAGACAAATTACATAGATCCAATTTGGGGTGCCACCTCAGCCGCCACAAGTCAGAACTGTGTAGCAGAAGGATTCTAGACTTGTTTTGCTTAGACAGTAGATTTGGTCTATATATGATGGGCATAAGAAAAATGTTAGAGAGAAAAAAGAGATTCAAAGATTACTAAATATATTTATCTATTGATTTATATCTGATGTTTGTATATGTATGCAGATAGACAGAATCCTAGAGAGAGAATCAAAGAGAACAAACATGTGAAATAAGCACATACCATCCAAATAAATAACATTCATACCTAAATATGAGCTATTTGTGGGTTCCCAACCCTCAACAAATGCGTTTTGTGGCAGCTCTACTTCAACTAGTGCAAGTTTTGGCTCAACTCTTTGAGTATAAGCTCTTCCTTTGGAATTTATTACTACCCATTGTCGATCCCAACGTAAGCCTGTTAATTCAACCAGAAAAAGAACCAGTTGCAATCACCATCAGTTTCATGTCTTTTTATCTTCTAATGTTAAGTGGGCAACAATATAGAGCAATAAAAAATTGCTCAAGGTTATATCGGTATTAATCAAGCTTTAGACAGAAGCTGTAGAATAAAATAAGTCAATAAAGTATACTAACATGCATCTAGCACCTTAGAACCCAAGTAAAAAACCATGATTCATAAGAGAGAGAACCGTGCATCCTCTGTTCACACTTCTCAATTTCTTTCTGGTATACTTACAGACTTCAATACTTCAATCCAATATACAGCAACTCCATTTTTCTGATCCATTTAAGTGTAGCATTTCTAATTCACATCTAGATATCACAACAGCTTTCTGATTCACTTTCATTCTTAAATTTTTCATTTAAGTTTAGCATTTCTTTTATTTTCACTCGCGTGCTCTATAAAGTATGGAAACGTAAGACAATAAAAGATAAAAATACAGAGTTTACGATTGTGAAAGGACATACATAGTTCAGCTGTAATAGTTGACACCTGATTAATGCACTTAAATTTGTATCCTAAGAACTGGATTCAATGACAAGGGCCCCTTAAGAAATGAGAGAATCTTCATCAAACAAGAGGGCCGCGGAGGATACGGGTTAATAAGCTTTTCTAATTATGTCTATATGACAAGTTCGTTAGGAGTGCATGCAGCCACAATCCAATTGCTTGCGATCCATGGACATGGGGTTTAGTACTTAAGTCTCTGTTTACAAATGATTTTTGCTAAAATATTAAACAATGAAATAAACGTAAGACAGGAAATTAATGAAACAGATAATTGCAGGATCGAAGCCTTCGTAATGAAACAAGAAATAAGTAGATTAAGAAATTGAGCCTAATTCAATAATTAGTAAGATAAGTAAATTGCATATTAGAAGTTTCCATGAATAAACAAGAAATGAATAGACTGAAAATGTGGGTGGTGTTTAGTTTACCAGTAGAAGTGATGGGTGCTTCGGAAACAGAGATTCCTCGACATGATTTAATTGGGTAAACGAAGATTGATGAAACTGTAGCTGCAGGTTCAGCTGCAGCACCTCCAAAGATGGAGCCGAAGATCGCTGAAGCCTTCTCCATTTCTTGCTTATTTCCAAAGCTCTCTTCTCTCTATCTTAAGTCGCTTAAAATACAGATACTTCCCACGAGAAACATGTGCATTGAGCAAATTCAATCACTTAAAAAAAAAATCCATAAATCCATTTGATACGCCTGCTGTATAGTATATGCATTGAACTCGATGAGGTGAGAGGACCAGGAGAACAGAACACCAAGATGTCGTGGATTGTGACAACGTTCATGGTCCCATCTCACATATCGGTGATGTTTGGTACCGTTTACGTTTTTTCAGTAAACGTTTATTGATGTGCCACATAGGCACCATCTAGCAATTTTTTCTCTCTTGCTTTTCTACATACATAAAAAAATGTAAAAAGTGAATTTTGGTTTATATAGAAATTATTTTTTGAAGCTTTCACAAACAGTCAGGCGTTTATTTAATGTTACGCTGAAGTGGCGCCCAGTTGTCATAAACAGTTGCAATTATTGCATTTCTCGATTTTAAACGTTTATTCAATAAACATAAACGGCACCAAACACATACATCATCACACATATTGGTTTATTGGGTGGGACCATGGGAGGCTTTTCTTCCGTTAAAGGGGCCAATGTGAGGATGTTTTATCTATTGTCAGATAAAATCAACCCACCAATGCCTCTATGTTCCGAACCTGTTCGAAAAAAGAATTTTATTTTTTTGTTCTTCAGAAGTAATAAATACATTTGACAAATTGTTCTTTTAGAAGTTTTTCTTTGTTCTATAGAAACAGAACTAACGTTTGGATAATGAAACCATTTCTTAACATCAGTTTTGCAAATTCATCCACAATAAGTCTGAAATTAACTATAAATAAGTTTTGGTTCATAGGAATAATTGAGTCATTTTTACATCTTGATGTAGGTCTGGTCATTGTTAAAGTTCATTCAAAATTTTAAAGTCAATGGCCAATAAATTAGAAGCTGCAATTTATCAAAAATAAATAAATAAGTTAGAAGTTGCAATGGTTTTGGTTTCTCTTGATAGGGTATGCAGTAGCAATTTCATAATTAAGACAAACACTAACCCAAACCATCCTAGTTAAGCTAGGCATATTTTTTGCCATCTCTCCCTTAGGAAAGAAAATGAAAAATAGAATTTTCCAAAGAGCTTGTCTTGGTGTTCTCTTTGTAATTTCTTCTATTTATCTCTCTAATCTACCATTAACTTCTACTCTCTTCTCCTCCAACAATATCAAATCTAATGATGTAGGATGAACCCCATGGATACTTATAACGTTTCATCCTACCAAACCTCATCTCCTGATTTCATAATTTTTTATGTTAGTTCACAATCTAGAATTTTCATCCTTATGCAAGACAGACTCGAAACTACACCAAACTTGGTCAAGCATTTACATCCATCTAGGGCAAAATACTTACAACGTTTCATTGAAAAATTCCAATCATAGATGGAATTTGATGCCCACATCACTACTATGGTCAAGCATTTACATCCATCTAGAATTACTACTATATCCCATCAAATGTGGAGTCCAAGGCAACTCATTATAAAAGATGTTGATCAATCAAAATGAGTATCAATGCTTCACTGAAAAAAAGGAATAGAATAGCCAAGACAAGTCATCACCATCAAGCAATTCTGAACAGCCTAGGCATGCATCAATCACCTCTTGGTAACAAACCAAACATAACTTGTAAATGATTGGGTTTGCAGTGGGAACAAAAACATATATAAGAAATTCCAGAAAACATATATAAAAGAAAAACTATCATCTTCTTCTGCCTCATCTTCCAAAATTTGTTCCCCCTCCAATAACCCCCGGCGGTGCGCGAGCTTCATCAAACTTGACTCAAAGAGGGAACATTACATCAGCAGGGGAAGAAGAGAATTTTGAGCAAGAAAACCGGCCCAAATGGCAACGTTAGTAAGATGAGTGATGAGATTCCAATTTCATATGGAGGAGATAACATTAACAGTTGTAATAGACTTTATTGCGATGGGAGCAAAAAACGATTTCAGGGGTGAATCTGGCCGGAGTTTAAAATAGATGCCAAAAACTATACATGTTGACACTCGCCAGTGTGTTCCGCTCACCATCCGGTTGGAGACAAGTTGAGATCTTCTTTCCTCTGAGATTTGCAGCAGCAAGTTTCGGAGGAATTCACTGTCGAACGAAAAGGTTAGTAGGGCTTTCTATTGTTTAGTGCAAAAATGCGAAAACACCCCTTCTATCACGTTGATGTCTATCACACGTGTTCATAAATATGTCTATCACACGTTCTTTGGGAGCATCCATTTTTTTCACTCCCAAAAATGCGGAATTTGGGTGTTGTTCTCACGTGAGAACAAGGTGTTTTTTTATGCTCCGTTAGAACACGAACGCGTGAAACACATTTTCAGGCAACGTTACTAAACAAGGCCCAAGAAAAGAGCCACACAGGGTAGGGGTAGCTGAGATCGACTTCTGTCAAAATAAGCCCGTGCTCATACCGTGCCAACAGCCTCTTCAACCTTGCATCGGAAATGTCTTGCCATCAAATAAAATACATTAAGTACGGAAATATCTAATATATATTAAAGGTCTTTGGGACATAGCCCCCACCATTCACATACGTGGCAACTTCAACTTTATGGAAAAAAGCATCTTACAAGTTGGTTGTTTACATTTTCAAACAGAAAATTCTCCTTATATACATAAATTGCTTTTAGCTACATTTAAATTTTTAAACTCAGACATGTGGCACTTTATGACAGGTGTTATGCATTCATTAATAGTTCTTTAGACAGGTGTAACCTTTAAGCGGAGGTTACGATCTACCCAGGTAACTCTGAGGCGCGAGATGCGGTAGGTCGGTCTAACGGTCAAGGTATCGACGCTCCGAAGATCTCGGGTTGGTAACGTACTGTTAGTCTAAGTCAACGAGCTCTCCCTCGCAGGTTGCTATGGATTCCTATAGCTTGGTCGACTTCTGGAACAGGTCGTTGTGATTTAAGGAACCTACCAGTTCGGCCTTGCCAAGGTGGAGATCGGCCTGGGCGAGGTGCTCCAGACTAACTTGCCGAGCTAGTTTGCTTACTCAATGCCGAGGTGTCATTCGAGAGCCACATGTTGCAAGATTATTTGGAGGACCAAATTACCCCTCATCAATTGCCCCCCACTCCCGAGTCTGCATTAGCTCAACGAAGGGAGTAGCTCTTTCAAATTTCAATTGGTCCAACTGGTATGACTCGACCTGAGGTCGGGCTATTTCACAGCATTTTTCAAATTTCAAATCTAAAAAAGAGGCACGCACTATGGGCATGCTAATCCCAATTTTGAAAAAGAGCACGCTCCACAGGCACGCAAATTTTGAATTCAAAATCTTCTGCGTGCATCGCTAGCTGTAGATTCGCTATCGATGCATTTCCATTGTTTGTCTCTCTATCCAATGGGTTATAAGTATGGAGTCCCCACTGAGGTCCCACTTGCACTATTTTTTGAGCTTTCTAGGGTGGTGTCTGATCAGAGGAGGTCGTTGCTCTATGTCTGCTCTATCAAGGTCTTGTCGGCCGCTGTCCGATTTCCTTTATCCTTTTCGATGAGTATCTTACGTCTTTCGATGTCTCACTGCCCATCCGATAGTAGGTTGTCTGACCAAAGGTTGGATGACGAAATGACTTCCTAAGGGAGGACTCTATCGGGGAGTTCTGTGTTGGATCTTTAGTAGGGAGAAGGCATGAAGTCAAGCGGACAATAGCCGTATTTGGTATGACTGAGTTGTCTGGAGAGCATATTGTGGAGCTATACCACACTTATCAAATCCCTAGCGAATATAATTGCATATGGTTGTGTGTTGATCGGGATGTTGTGTGCGTCTATGAGGAGGTGCTGGTCGCCGGCCTTCGATTCCCTCTTCACCCATTCATTCTTTTGGTGTTAAAGGTACTATGGTGTTTCTTTGGGTTAGCTCGTCCCTAACGCAATTCGGACCTTGGTGGGGCTGATCAGCTTGTGTCGCCACCATAACTTCCCTTTGAATTTGGATGTCTTTTCTAGTTTGTGTCACATGAAGAAAGTCTCTAGAGCCCCTTTCTACTTCTATCTTTCTTTCTGAGGTGGCTACAAGGTGTTGACAAAATTTCCCAATAAAATAAAGGACTAGAAAAATAGGTTTTTCTTCTTCTCTAGGGATGATGACTGGGGTGTGAGCACTAATTGGCAAAGCGATTGTCAGAGCTTCGGTGAGTGTTCTGATGAAGAATTGCAAGCCGCGATTCAAGAGTTTGTCAGTTAGAGAGTTGAAGCAGAAAGTGTTTTGGCCAAGCCCATGCTTATATAGGTCGGCCTGAGTCGTGTAGGTAGGTCGGCCATTGAGTTATCTGCATTTGCATTCGATATTTGTTGATTTTAGCTCGGCTAATTATTTCTTCACTTTTTCAGATATGGTGAGTATGGTTTCAATGTTGGCGGCTTCCAAGGAGAAAAAGGCTTCAAGGAAGAAGTGAAGGGTGAATTGCCGCTCCTTGATGGAGGGGACCTCGTCCAGCACCGAGGTGAGGTCGCCACACCCTACTCCTGTCATCAACCTCGATGGAGGCGGCGACTCGATGAATACTGATCAACACTCAACAGATCCAACTGTCTTTTAACCTCAGGTCGGCCAGGAGGGGCGTGAGGCCGGCCCTTACACCTTGGACATTCCTTACTTCACTCCGAACGTCGACGTCTCGGTTGCTTGATCGTGTGACTGATCCTCGTTATGCTCCTCAGATGACCAGGGGGATGATGCTCCCTAAGGATGTGCGGTACTTTCGTGCCTTGGACCTGGTCGAAGCTGGAGCTCACTTGACCCATTGCATTGTCCAGGTTCGTCTCTTTATAGGGTTTTTGATCTCTTAATGAAACTTTTCAGATTTCTGCTCTCACCATGTTTTTCTTTGGTAGGCTAATACCATCGGGCAGATCTTTTTGGACCAAGTCCACACAAGCTAGAAGGAGAGGAACGAGCTGCAGGCGAGCATGAACATGCTACAAACTCAAATGCGTGACGTCCAGATCAGTGCGGAGGACCGTTAGTGTTTCTTCGGGATGAGCGAGAAGATGCAGCACGAGCTGGCTGAGGCTCGTGATACTATTGCTGCCCAGGAGCGCCAACTAGACGAGAGGCGAACAATGTATGCCCAAGACATTCGCCGAGCTAAGGAGGCAGTCGTTACTCATTTCTTGGAGTCCCCTGAATACGAAAAGAAGAAAGCGGAGGACGCCATCTCTTC